AAGGCACATCTGCATAACACATTAAAAAATACGAAAGACGACAAATTGTCAGTCTTTGAAGCTTACTGTCATCTGCTTTCAATGCATGTCATGTGGTGCCTATCAGTGTGGCAACATCCCCACCGTTCCCTTCGTGACCTTAAACACCACTAAAGGCGGCTCTTCTAACTGATAGTGAAAAATAATTTAATCTGATACTACTGCCGAGAATAGTCTTCGCCAACTATCTTTACGCATCTATCTTGCAGTGGTTCATCACCAAAGTCAAACAGGTGCAAGTCATCTTTAGGTAGCATGCTATGCTATTGCATACCACACCTCCAAGTGCTCCACAGCGTATTTGACGAAAAGCGAATATCTGCAACTTTGAAGCGAAGTTCTACTCTTTTCGTAAAGCCGGTACGTGATGCTCGGGTCTCTTCCATCAAGGTTTAAAATAAGGGGGAACTAATGCAGGGCGTAAAAGAGAGCACAGTACCGGTAGGCTTACGCATGGCCTTTCCAAATACGAGTTACAATGAGCCATTGCTGAGAGCTATAACCGTACAATACATGCAATTTTCCAGTCAACAGATGTTACAAGAGCAATGAAACTGAATTTCAATGAATTTTCGTAGAAGTCTTTAAAAGAAGAGTACGAATCTCGAAGTAGGACAACACCAAGAGAAGGGTGAGGTGCTTTGCTTACCCGCAGGACAATAAGTATCCCGGTCGAAAGAAGTCAGAAGCACAAGCCCATGCTACTTTTAGATAATAGTAGAATTTAAAATTAACGGGCACGCACCTCTTCAAGTTCGCGGTTTTGTTCCCTCAACCGATCGCGTTGGTTTTGGACGATGTCAAGGATGGAGGATTCTGCTGCAATACTTTTCTCCTCCTGCTCATAGATGAGGAGGTCGGTCAAGGGTGAGGCCGATTCTACCACCTCATCGCCGTTACCAACATAGGAAGACGTGTTGGCCCGTTTCTGATGGTGCCACGTGCTGGCCCGATTGAGATCCTCCTCCAGTCGGGCTATCAGCGCCTTCTGCTGTGCCTCTCGCTCTGCCATATCGGCGTTTGTCTTCTGCAAGGCCATCAACTTAGCTGAAATTGAGGGGGGGGGGGTGGCAAAATGTGCTTGGTTACGCTCTCAACTATCAATAATGCAGAATATCATATTGAGAACAAATAATATGTTGGTAACCAGGAGGTATGAAACGGAAAAGAGGTAATAGATTTGCAGTAAAAAACGTCTTTCAGAGCATTCAAGAAATGATCAAATGCCCAGAAACTAGGCCAACAATTTTACGAGATTCCTAGTAAGTACGATA